ATCAAATTATTAGAATCATTATAAAATTACATAAATCATGATATTTTTATAATAATTTAAGTGAATCGTATAAATTACAATAACTTATGAATATTTTTTAAAGTGTACATAAAGTTCTAATTAACTAATTCTTAATTAAAAAGGGAAATCTTTGAATAAAAGAAAGAGGGCAAAAAGGCATTGGTGATCGGACAGATGCAGAACGTGAAAATCCCCATGCTTCACGTGGGGCCTCAAATTAACATGTCGACTGAGATATGATAAAGTTATATTTTAATAATGTCTATTGGCATTGCTGTTGCTTTCAAACACTGACTTAACGACATAAATTTCAAGTACTGACTCGATGACATAATATAAACGTAGTGTCAGTTCATAAAATATAGCTCAAATGATTCTAGATCAAATTTTATCATATTTCAGTCAATAATTTAATGCCCAACTCATATGACTTTTAATATAAAAGGACAAGTTTGGAGCGTGTAGTATTCAAATGATTATTTTGTTACTTTTAATAGTTGTTGTAAGACTTAAAAAAGCAGTACCCCGTAGTTAAAATACCATTTTATAAATTTTAATAGTTAGAGAACTCAATAAAATAATTCGTTATAGTCAGAGTACTATTTTTGTAATTTACCCAAAGTAATTATAACAAATTCTATTCTATGGTGTCTTGTAGATGTAGACCACATGAAAATGTGGGTCCCAAGCAAAGGTCATGAAAATCAAAGGAAGCAACTTATCTCGACCGACACGTCATTGATTGATTACAACGGGGTGTTAATCTGTTGGTGACGTTTCCATTACCTCCTTTCTCTCCGCTTTTCCAAATACCGTATTTTTCATCAAATTCTCCTAATACCATATTTTTCATTAAATTCTCCTAATACCATATTTTTCATCAAATTCTGCCACCTCAGTTTTATATTTTATTAGGTAAACAGATTATTTTTTTATAAAATTACAAATAAATCATTTAAATTAAAATATTATTATAAATACTATCTCGATCACACTAAATATGTCTATTTTGATTTTTAAAATTATCACATCCAAACTGTCAATAAACAACAATATTTATATTTATTTTTTTTACCCTTATATATCTTACTCTTTTATACTTATCAAAACAAGTCAGTTAAATCTATTATTTACTTTTATAGATAATTAAAATAAAACATAAATTATGGGACGGAGAGAATATATCTTGTTATTGTTAAAATTATTCATAAATGTTGTGCTTGTTTATAGATTAAAGCAGACGTTTAATTGTATATGATAATATATATTTGAATTTTCAGCATACAAAGATTTATGAGAAAATAAATTTATTTTCTTCTCGTATTAAGAGATCTTTCTTACAATAACTTCACATGGCCACCCCCGGTCAACCTACTTGTTTACGAAAATTATCAGTTTTTTATCCTCTTCCTTGGTTTTGTAATCTGCCTTTTATTGTGTTGTTTTTTTGTCAAATATTTAATATATATTTTTTAAATTTTATATTTATCAAGTGATTGAAGATAAAAAAAAGTATACATGTATGTTGTTACTTGTATACTTGTTAATATGTGTCGCCTTCATAATGTACCATATGGAATTTTTTAAAACAAGATTCATATATTTTTAACATATTATTTTTCTTTTTCTTTCTTTTTCTCGTTTTTTGCTATTTTTTTACAACAATTATACATGGTGCATCTTAATCATGCTATTATTTATAAAAAAAGATCAATTTCATAAATAATTGTTTTGAGATATTATTTTGATAAATAATTAAAAAATATATTATTTATTTAAATTTGTTTTGTTATTAAACTCACAATTAAGTAATATAATTTATTTTATTTTTAGAGAAAATTACATAAATTATATATTTAAGGTGTTTAAAAGCGGTAATAAGTTTTCGTTTATATATTTAAACTTAATAATAAAATGATAGAATATATTTATAAACGAGAGATTCATTCTAGTGATTGGTAAACTATTAAAAAATATAGTATTTTTTAACACTGCATCTTGTTTTATTGATTTCCTCGAACTGTGATAGTTCCCCGACAACAACCTTAGTTATTTCCTCGAACTGTGTTCTATAATTTTCGACTTCGATATCATATTAAAAGGATAATACATTTTCGACGTATTTTTAATCTATCATTGCTATAGTGGGATTTTTCAAAACTTTCCGTACAAGTCAGTATCATTTCTTCGAAATTTAAATTTCATTTTCAAATGTTGAATTAATTCATTTAAAGTTTAAATTATGAAATAGATGACAAATTGAATTAAAACTAAAAATAAAGTTATATAAGTAAAAAATAATAATTAACATTAACTAATCATAATGACGAAGATGAACAACAACAACAAAATATAATAATTATGGAATGTTCATGAGCGACATGAATTTCAAGCCAACGTCCATGATCAATTGCCTCGAAACGATCATGTTACTGGTTTTCATCTGATGGAGTACATCGTAAAACATATACTTGATATGATTCGAATAAATTTCCGATAATGAAAAACAAAAGAGAAAACCTCAATGAGTTCTAGTAATACGACAACATTAACTTTTGTCTGTTTGCATTTTAATGATCCTTTGAAAAAAAAGCGAATTCAATTGTATAACAAAACATCTATATGTATATTTGTCATGTCACTAATTGTGATAAATTAAAATAAAAAGATACGTTGATATCGATTAGGAGAGAGAAAATTGTGTGAATAATATAAAAGATTATAGAAAAAGATAATATCAATGACTCTTTCGTCAAAAAAAATTAATTTCATGACCAAAATAGAAATAAATAAATAAATTAATGACTAATTGTGTATTTTTTGATAAATTAATGACTAATGGTGTAGTTTATTTTTAGTTAAATTAGAATTTGATTGATATCGTGTCTTGAATTCTATTCATGATTTTTTTTTTCAACTTTAGTTAATGGAATGGAATTGGCCAAATTGGAACTAAGCCAACCAAAGTTTGATATGGTCAACTTTCTAATTTTACAACCTTATGAAAAAGATAAATTCTTTCAATTCTGTATTCAATCTTTGATTTATTTTATCCTAAAATAAAAATATTGAATTTTATATAAATTGTAGGACCCAAAATAAAAGACTAATTCCATGTTTACGTTTTCTTTTTGCACACTTTTACTTTTGAATTTCCCGGGGATGACTTGGGTTATTAGGTGTAACCACAACGAAAACAATTTTTTTTAATTGCAGTTAAATAATTATTATATCATATGGTTATATTACTAATTGGTATATAATTAAACTTTAATAAAATTTATATATAATAAAGTTTTACTCATAATAAAATCTGAACTAAAAACTTATACAATTAGCTGTTGATGTAAAACGAATGCAATGGTGATTTGCGTTAATAGTAGACGAGTCATCGTTTTTTTTACGTGGACGAAAAGCCGTTGAACAACGGTGGCGTCAAATCCATCCTTGAGGGTACTGTGAGAGCATACCTGAGAGCTCTAGAATAAGAGGAAGAGAGTCCTCTTTAGAGACTTGTTGAAAGGAGAAACCCTTTTGTTGAAGAGTAAGAAATGGAAATTACTCTCCTATCCCTAAGCATAAGGTGACAATAATAAGATGATTATTGATGAAAAATGAATGGGTCATCTATATTATTTATTATTTATTTATTAAGAATGTAACACTTTTTTAAGAGAGTGCTATATATCGACAGGATAATAACATAAAACAAATTTAAAACATTATCTATGTTAGTAAAAAATTGTAATGAGTTAATCAACATGAGTTGGTTCAAGTGGTAAGTAATTTGATATCGCTTAAGCGATATCTCATGTTCAATATTTTGTGTATGTAAAAAATCCATGCTGGGAGACTCAAATACCAAAGTCAGGTGTGAGACACAAATCAATCCATATTAATCAAGACGAAACCTTAGAATTAGAGGGTAACTAAAAAAAGTTATAATGAGTTTATAAGTTAAAACGAGAAATGATTCACGTATTATGATTTGGACATAGGAACACTCCGCTTTAACAATAAGGGTGTAACACTTATTCCTCCTATTTAGAACCTTTCGTGTAAAATTATCCCTATTCGTAGAATTATAGAACGAAGATTATATGATGAATGTTGATGACAATTAATGAGAAATAAATGAATTTTATGTACATTGTTTATTATTTAATTGGAGATGTAACATTGTTCAACAAAATCTGCTTAACATAGCTGAAAATAATTATTTAACAGATATTCATTTATTCCGGTTTTGGTTAAGGCGATACTAAACTAATAATTTTACGGTTAGCTTCCACTTTATTACTATCATTTACATTTTCTAACGATGAATTGATCTGAATCGATAGGTTGTATAAAAGCACCAATGATTTAATCATTTTAATTAATAAAATAAAATTAAAAATTAATGAATTATTATAAATGATTAAAAAATACAGAAAAAGTATATAAACCGATTAAACCAGCTAAAGAAAACGCCATAGGAGAAAGAAAATGAATCTACCACTACCTTGCAGTAATTGGCGAGTCAATAATGAGGTAATTTTAATTCATATTAGTTTTTTATTTTGTTATTTCATTATCATAGAATAAAAATGAGTGGTCTAATAAATTCGATTACTTAATTAATTTTCATAATATTAATTTTTATCATACTTGTATATTTTATTATTCATTAATTATAGATAAAATTGAGATTTCTATCATATTGAATTGAAATGAATAACACTGATGTTACAAAATATTGTATTTTGAGCTACACCATGAATATAAATATTTATATTATAGAATATATTTTGATGTTAAAAAAATGAAATAAACGGATTTATATTTTTGTAATAAAATGGAAAGAAAAGCCTGTAATTGGTATTTTCTAAACAAATTTTATTTAAGAAATGGAAAATACAATAACAATCATGGAAATTTCGTGCGGAAGTGGAGAGATAAGATCTTAAGAAAACAGCAAACAGGAAAACCAAAGCGAAGCAGCCACAGTTAAATGAGACCCTACGAATACAAATCGTCTTCTTCCACGCTTTCTCTATCTAAAATCTTCATCTTCACTTCTTTTCGGTCTCTTTTTCCAGTCTGTTTCCCTCTCTCTACGTACCCTTTCAAACTCTTCAAATACCAGCAAAAAATACCCCTTCCCTTCCGCATTACCATTCTCTCGTAGCCCTTTCTCTTCTCTTCTCATTTTTCTTCAAAATCAGCTTCCTCTGTTTCGTTTCTGGGGGTTCTGTTCAGAAATGGAGAAGGCTAATGTCGACAAGGTGAAGCGGCTAAGAGCTTGGGTTCAAAACTACGATTGGGGAAGATGTGGGACGGAGGCACAGGTGGCGAGGCTTTTGGCTTTGAATTCTGGGGCTGAGATTAAGCCTGATAGGCCATATGCTGAGTTTTGGATGGGAACCCATGACTCAGGGCCAAGTTTTATGGCTGATGACAATGGAGAAGGTGGGAATTTGGGTTTAAAAGATTGGATATGGAAGAATCCGAATGTGCTTGGTCACAAGGTTTTGAAAAAATGGGGGCCTGATATTCCTTTTCTGTTCAAGGTTTGTACTTTTCTTTTACACGTATTTCTCTACTTTCTTTCTGGGGAATTCTTTTTTTTTTTCTCTCCCATTTCCTTTGATTACTGGGAAATTGAATTTTGATTTTTGTGTGCGTGTATTTGGTATTGGGTTAATGAGTTTTCTTTTTTCATTTTAATGGTAATAGCCAGAACTTTTGCTTCAGTATTCATGGAAATTGAATTCTCACCATTCATCTAAAATTTCCATTTTTACCATTTTTGTGATGTCCATTATAATTTCCCCCTCTGCTTCTTTTGGTATTTAGAAGTGTAAAATTTTACTTTTTGGGTTGTTTTCATCTCAATTTAAGTTTAGATCAAAGCGGTCAAGATAGAAATTAGGGAACTGGAATGGATCTTGGAAAAGTTAATGGCAAAGAATTAAGCTTGACAGTTAAAAAGGGCAACCAACATAACTTTTTGGTATTTATCTTTTGCAAGTAAAATCCCAACCTGATACCGTGTTTCATATGCTTTAATATAGGTACTTTCAGTGGCAAAACCCCTTTCAATACAGGCACATCCGGATAAAGAATTGGCCAAAGAATTGCATAAGTTGAAGCCAAATCTCTATAAGGATGCTAATCATAAACCTGAGATGGCTTTGGCCATAACAGAATTCAGGGCCCTTTGTGGGTTCATTACTCTTGAGGTAATACATGAATCATGCTCGGTTTTTTGGCGGTGGAACTTCCCTTTCCTGGTTGTCTTCTTCGAGTGAATTACTCTTGCCTTTAGGTTTGCTAAAATTCTTGGTAGTCACATTTTGCAACTATATTTGTCATCTATGCTGTCAAGTCATAATTATGGAAATGATATGCATGATGAAACATTGAGTCCAAATCACATCTGGAATCGAGACATAAGGTAATCGATCTCGACTTTCTGTGAATCCACTGTCACCTTTTCTGGTTGGTGTTGTTTTTGCCTAAACCGCCTAGGCATAAATATTATACTTGTTATCTTTAGGTGATATTTAATGTCACCGTGCCAGAACGTTCTCATGTCTATTGATATTAGAGGATTACTAATATATTAGGCATAAATATTCGAGTGTATTGTTTAGCCTCTCTTTGTCCTGTACCGCTTATTTTCTGTTATTTCCAAATAATGTCTGAAATATCTTTAGGATTGTTGCAGGTTACCAATATTTGTTTTGTATTAGTTGATGGATACCTCTTGTTTGTACTTACCATTTTCTTTGATTCTGCCAACTATTGTCATATATATGAAGCAAGTATTTGTCTTCTTTGTAGGAGCTTAAGGGTGTGCTTAAAGATTTTCCGGAGATCGTAGAATTGGTTGGCAATGCATCGGCAAAGCAAGTCTTAGATATTGACAAGGAAGATGGTGCAGAGAAAGCAAAATATGCTCTACGGTCGGTTTTTACACAACTTATGTCAGCTAGCAAGGATATGGCAACGAAAGCAATATCAAAACTGAAAAGTCGGCTGCACGTAGAAAGTCAGGTTTATAAAATTCTTTTATTTACTGCATAGGGGCATAAAATCATAACCTGGTTATGTTCCTTCAAAAAATGACATGGACAGGAAGATTGATGTGGTCCTACCCTTGTGTTCCTTCATAAAGTGGCTGCTCTGAAGGCTTGAATTTTTTTTATTAGTCTGATTAGGCTTCCGTCCACATAATTACAAAAAGTGGCTCTTAAGCAAGTTTTTATTTATTTAAAGAAACCCTTTAACCTCATGCAGACGACAATAAACAAAATTTCCTTCTAGGCTTTAGTTTTCTAGATCTTCTTTCCTTGGCATAAATGTCACTTCAGTACCAACTGCACTGACAGAAAAATGTCATCTAGTTGTCGGAATGAAGCCGGGAAAATGTGGTGTTGGGAGGGAGAGTGGAGTTGAATTAATTGTCAAGAGGGCAAAATAAATTTTTTTAACATGTATTAATTTAAAAATTTTCAAATTTTGAAGGTGCTAAATCATAAAGTTATCATTTTTGGGGGGGTCATATAATTTCACCATTGTACTAATTTAAACTGTTGCAATTTCTAAGGGGACTAAACATAAACAGTGCTTATTTCGCAAATGTTTGTTCTGTCTAGCAAAACCTGCCAGGGACAAAGATGCCATTGAGTTGTAAATTTGGTTGCAAAGAGTGCATGGTATGCTTTTGTGCCTCCCTCCCCAATCAGCCTGGCATGGCTGATTCTCTTAATTAATTTTGTTTATTACTATAGTACTAATATCTTTAATAGATTATGTTCTCTTTTTCTTTCCAGCATTTAAAGTTGTTGATGGTCTTCTTGGCATATCCTTTACACTTCGTTTCTTTTTTCTTCGGAATCAGTTACGGTGTCTGACGGAGAAGGAACAGTTGGTGTTGCACTTGGATAAGCAATACCCAGGCGACATAGGTGTTATATCAGCCTTTTTCTTCAATTACGTGAAACTTAATCCTGGTGAAGCATTGTATCTTGGGGATTATGTTCTCTTTTCTTTCCAGCATTTAAAGTTGTTGATGGTCTTCTTGGCATATCCTTTACACTTCGTTTCTTTTTTCTTCGGAATCAGTTACGGTGTCTGACGGAGAAGGAACAGTTGGTGTTGCACTTGGATAAGCAATACCCAGGCGACATAGGTGTTATATCAGCCTTTTTCTTCAATTACGTGAAACTTAATCCTGGTGAAGCATTGTATCTTGGGGCAAATGAACCCCATGCATACTTAAGTGGGGAGTGCATTGAATGCATGGCAACATCAGACAATGTTGTCCGAGCAGGTCTCACTCCCAAACACCGTGATATCCAAACTCTTTGTTCCATGCTAACATATAAGCAGGTACAAGTTTTTAATCAAGGTTTTGACAATTTTCTATTTGAGATTAAAATTATTCATAATGTTTCTTGTGTGTGGGTTTGAGTAATACCTCGTACGCAATTTTTTTTTGCTCAACTCATTTCTTCTTTACGGAATTTGATTATACAATGCTATTGGCTTATGTTTTATTTCTGTGGCCGGATTTCCGACATTTGTTTGTCTTCCTCAATGGGGCATTTTCCTTGATAATGTAAGGTGGAAAAATATGCACAACTGCTTGGATTTAGAAAAAGGTATCTCATTATGAAACAAAAATTACCCCAACGCTCGTTCTCGTGTATTCATTTAAATTTATTCATAAAAAAGCATTGGTCTCTTCAGTTGCATCACCTATGTTTCTGTGCATTCAGCTTCATATACAAAACAAATTTTCCGGGAAATCTGGTTAGCTTGTATGCTTGTGTCTGTGCTACGTATTATGTGCTGTAGAATTACGACTTCAGGAGAGGTGGCTATTTGTTGTTGATATCAACAACCTTGGCTTACCTGATTTGGGATTTAATATCTGAACATATATACTTTCTTCTATCATGTTAAGACTTTTGGTTTTCTTCTATCATGTTAAGTCAACATATATGCTTTCTTCTATCATGTTCTTATTTGACTTTTGTATTAGTTCTATGAATTAGAAGGTAACCGAAGTTCTGCATCTTCAAATTTTGATTCTTCATTGTTTCCGTTCCAGGGCTATCCTGAAATCCTGAAAGGATTTCCATTGAGTCAATACATTACCAGGTATCTCCCGCCGTTTGAAGAGTTTGAAGTCGATCTTTGCATTCTTCCAAAAGGAGCATCGACAGTTTTCCCCGCCATCCCAGGCCCTTCTATTTTCCTTGTATTTCTTGGGAAGGGAACATTGTGCACCGGATCATGGGAAGACGTAGTCAAAGAAGGAGATGTGCTCTTTGCAACTTCGAACACGGAGATTAACATTACTGCTACGTCTGAACTGCAGGTTTACAGGGCAGGAGTGAATAGCAGGTTCTTTCATGCTGCCTTATGACTTTAGATCTGAACCGGAGCCATCAGCAGCCTTAGGGAGTAAATAGTTTGTTAATCATATAATTTTGCATGTATTTACGCCATCAGCTTTTTTTATGCATTATAGTGTAATTTTAGGACTTGCATATATAGTCAAAGGTAATACCATTCATGTTTATTAGAATATGAAAATGAATAAATTAAAATCCATTTCCTATTTATCTGTACTTCAAATTTGATCTCTCCTTGAATAATAGTTTATGCAATTCTACTGACTGGAGTTTTTTTAGGTTATGTATCAAAAGAAAGCTTTTGATTTATTTAGAAAAGCCTTTTAACAATCATAATCGCCATTCCTCATCATTCATAAGTATAATTTACATAACCTATATGTCAGATTTATGTATTGAAAAGTAATGGATAAAATAGAGGTATGTTTGAAAGCAATTGCAAGAAATGTAATCATTCATTAGGTACTGATTACATCCTCTCGAAATCTACAAGTGATTATAATTCAATATATATGTATGGCTGTAAAGTGTGATTACACAATCTAGTGGGACTCGTTAATTAAAAATTGAATAAAGAAAGGTTTGAATACATAATTATTCGATTCAACTGAAGAGTCTAATCATGGTGCTGGGATTACATTCGATTCAACCGAACCCACTGATTACAATAGTTGACATAAAAAGGTCACAAATGTATTATAATTATATACAATTATGTCCAAATATAATTCTTTTATAACTTTTATTTCAAACAAAAATATTTTGTACCTTTAAGCCCTAATTTTCTCATTAAAACAATTTTGTAGTTTTTCTTTCTTTTAAATGTCCCTTAACGGCGGTTCAGTACCCTCCTCTACTTTTTTTACTTAATTTTTTTATTTAAATCTAAATAAATATCTTTCTCGTTATATTTTTTTCTTTTCGTAAATGCATGACAATTATTTTTACGATTAAATAGGGGTGCATTATATTTTCAAGACAAATGTCAAGATTTGAGCTAGAGATAATATGAACATTCTTGACCACTCGACCAATTAATAGATCTCGGAGACTTTGTGATTGTTGATAATTACTAGTTTTATTTTTGGAAATAAAACATATATTTATGAGAAGGTTTAATTTTATTTTTCTGCAAGCCATTTAAATTTTTATGTTAGATTTATATTATCATTACTGGATCTTACCTTTGAAAACCCAATTTCTTGTTTGAAAAAAAACAATTTTGACTTTCGGATGCTATGTTTGGTTACATACATATTGAAACTAGAACAAAACTTGAAATTAGAAAGGAATTTAGGCCATCTCGCTGGAGTGGATTAAATCTCCACTTTGGAGATTGCTTTTTACTCCAGCCCATCGTCAATTTTAAGTTGGATTGTGGCGTCGGGCTACAATATACGCTACATCTAGTGTTGCACTACTTTTTTTTTGTTATTTTTTTGATTTTTTATTTTTTTTAATTTATTTTTTTACTTTCTTTTGTTATTTTTTTGTTAATTTGTTGAATGAATATTCTAATTTGGAGAATTAAAATATATAATTATATAACTTGTGTTTTTTCGCATTATTATTATGAATCGTAATTTTCTTATTTATTTGTATTTTCGTAATGTTATTTATGAATGTTTTATTTATGCTTTTTATCTTGATATTTATTAAAAATGTATATGTTTTATTTTATATTTGTAAAATTAATATTATAATAGTTATATATTGTGAATAAAGTAGAGTTGGTGGTAATGTAGATATGGTGCTGGAGATGAATTAATGTTTCATGTTTTGAACAGAGATAGAGATGTTGTAGAGTAGAGATGAGGGCTGTAGATGGCCTTAACGGATAACAGATACGTTAGTTTAAAAATAATTTATCAAAAATTAGAAAGATATTGAACGGATAAATTAAGTTACTATTAAATCATATATTAAATTCAAGAAATAAATAACACCTCTACAAACAAAATATAGTATCAAAGTATTTTTGAAAACTTGAAATTGAATTAAGAACGGCCCAACTATGAAGGAAAAAAAGAAAACAAGAAGGAATTGAACATTAAAGCCCAGCCCAAAACATTTGAGTCCTATGTGACCTTTTTCTCTATTTTTGCCTTTTATTCTTTTTAATTTTGCTTGTTAAACACTGATTATCAGTAATTAATCTCTGTTTAAGCTTTGTCTAATCTAAATTAGTCCACTCTCTCATAATAAGCTATAAATATTCTCATTTTCGGATACCAAATTCGTTTTTTTTTCTCTTTGAAGATCATGTCCCCAAGGCCAATCTTTGAGGTTCGCGGATCGCCTCATTTCAGGTATGTATTAAAATAAAACAAATCTATCATTTTTTTCATTTTTAATTTGATTTTCTTTAGAACCCTAGATTTTCTGTTTGGTTTTCTGGGGAAAAAAGGAAATTTGTGGAAGAATGAGAAGCTGGAATCTTATGTTTATATTGCAGATTTTAGGTCAACTGATTTTTTTACTTAAAATGATGTTATAAAATTCGTAAAAATTTGATTAACTTTCCGTTTTCCGGCATTTTCTTGGCAACTAAACGGCGCCTTACTTTGTTTTAGCATCATGCATGTTTAGCATCACTGAACAGAATACTGTAGCTTATCAATTTGCTTGATTAAAGAAGTAAGCAGTTAAAGGCTCTCGACTGACTTTTTTTAATTATCTGCTTGGCTTAATGTTGGTTGAGAGCTTTGCCTTTGTATTTTACACGTTTGTTCCGTCGGTGGGATTTCACTTTTCATTGTTGATATGGCTTAGGCTAAGAGAATATTTCCCTTGAAGAAATACTTTGTTAGAAACTTGATTGAATGATTGTCTCTACCAGTGTTGAGTGCTACTACGTAGTTTATGGGAGAATTTAGCTTAGTTTAGTTAAAGTAATGATTTGAAAGGCAAAAGCATAAGGTGCAGCTTAAGTATGATCATTGAGGTATTAAACTCTTAACAATGAATGAACTATTTATTTAGAGATTAAAATAAATGTTTTCTTATATAAATAAATGTAAATACTAAAGTACATTTGAAACACCGTTACAAACAATATACTTGGATATGGATTAATTGTATTATATTTTAGTTTGCTAGATCTTAGATGATTTTACCATTAATTGTTTTACTTGTAGGCAAACTCCGTTGCAGATAATCCACATTGTTGGGAACCTATTGAGAGTATGGTCAGTTTACTCCATGTATCGGTACCTGAACCAGACTGGAGCTTCAGTGATACTTTTTATCTTCAGTTGTCTGGTTCCATCATCTATCTTATTTTTACTCTTACAAAAGCCTTGGAAGGGAAGACCTCTCTCTAATACACAGGTGTAGTAGAATTGCTTCTTTTCACGAAAAAGAAATAATGATTGGAAGAAAGAGTGTTAACTTGTATAATTTTCCTTAGTTTGTTCCTTTTTGAAGTCATCGTTATTTGTTAACTTGCAGATTGTTCCTTCTGTAATTAATGGAGCAATAACAGCTTTATACTTCATCTTGTGGGGAAAGGGGCTTAAATCATGTGGACCACTTAGGTACCTTTCTTCTGCATTAGAAATTCTTTTGTACTTCTGTTTATGTTTACATGTCTCAAACATGCTTAATGTAATTAGATTGAGCATATAAGAGGGTATCGTTATCTTTGAAACTTTGTTTGCTTTATAAACATGATATAACTTTTGTATAGAAATAGTACCTGTTTATTTTCCTTTCCATTTTCTCCTATGTCAGAATTATTAGTAAATGCAGACATGTAAATATTTATTGATTGAGTTTATGAAATATCATTATGCTTTCAACCTCAAAACATTTTAGGAATCCTGAAATTTCCTGTTTCCATTTTTAATTATTTATATTTGTGCAAAATGCATGTAAATGTCTTATTCTAGTGTCAAACCTCTTGTCTTGCTTGGACAGTTCCTGTAATGAACCCTATTTGATCTGTTGTTAGAAAAATGCATCTTTCACAAATTCTAACCCCCAAGTCCAAGCCTTATGAGAATTTGTTCCAAATACTGGCAAGCATGCGCATGATAATTTGGGTTTCATCATCTCCATGGATTACTTGATAGCCTTAGGTTAGGTTGTGACTCGTCGCTTATAGGCTATTTGATTTAGGCCAGATGTTTGACACAATATAATGCATATTGTTTTAATTTGAACTGTGCAATTTTTTTAATTGCGGTCCTTCCAATTTCTATGATATCTTTAAATTTCCCGGCAATACTCTAAAAGTTCATTAATTTATGACCTCTTAGGCTCTATTTTGAACTCTCTCTCCTCTTAGGCTCTATTTCCAACTCTCTCTCCCCCCTTAGGCTCTATTTTGAACTCCCTCTTTCTCTTAGGCTCTATTTTCAACTCTCTCAAACATACACACCACACACACATTTTTGGGAGGCCTGTTGCTTATTTGTGGTCCTCTTGAGTTGGATCCCCTTCGAGCATTCCTTCTAATATTATCCCAAGGAGGAAAAAGAGGAAGCTGTCAACTGCCCAAGAACATTGATCAGTTGATGCGCCATTTCATCAATCAAATACATTTGTTAAAATAATTTTATAAATTTTAGGAAAAAATAATTTGTAATATAAATTAAGTTTACAAATATATACTGACATTTACATACTTTACTAAATATGCTTTATTAATATTATATATATTTAACATTTATGTCAAATTAGCTCAGTTGCAGAGTTCGGGTTTCAAAGCATTTCTTTTTTTGTTTCTGCGGCTTATCATCAATCTTGTCATGGTCTTTAACCCGTATGAAACTTTTAATGGTTTCCATGGCTGCATTAATTTTCATTTTTTGTTTTCTCTAGAGCTATATTGGCGGAGTATTCTGGTGCTGTTCTTGGAGTATTATCAGCAGTATTGTATGGTAGAAAAGGCCATGTCTGGAAAAAGGTAAACACATTTGACTACAGTCTATGGCTAATTCGTTATTTATATTCATGTAGAAGAGATTTGTGCCTCCATAGTCTGGGGTTGTCTTACTTCAGAAGTATTTGGACATCACATGCCATGTTTGTTTAGAATTGAGATCAGTGATGCTATTAGGATCAAATTTAATATGTCCTCAGCATCAACATTGATGGTTGAAATATCTGATAATTGATGTCTTTTCTTATGGTTTACCAGGTTGGTGGGCTTATTGCGATGATGGCATCTTTTTATTTCTTATCTCAAGGCTGGGCTGTTGCAACACTTTCTCCATTCTATATCCTATTATAGGCTTTCCTCAAATCTTGGTCCCTAGGATATAACTATCCATTAGGCGTGCTGTTTAATATCATCTTATTTGATTTTTCTCTGTAATCTCTAGACAGGTATCTTTATTTTCATGCTCTGATTATTCCAGTTTGATTTGATAAACTTAACAATAAAATACCATTCAAAGATAGCCTTGATTCAGAGGTTCAGACTGAACAAGTATTGGGCATGAGTCATATGATGGTTCCCATCTTGGCTGGGATCTTATCAGCTCTGAGAAGGGTGATTGCTAGGCGGGTTTCACTCAAGGTATTGATATTAATGCATCTGTAGTTATCTTCTAGACTCTTTTTCAACTGAAAGTCATCATCTACTAGCCTCCAACCCCCTCAATACTAACATAATTTCTTATTGTTGTCATTTTCTGCCTTTAGAATCAACTCAAAAGGCGTCTTCATGGAATAACCATTGCTTCTGCAACATCATTTTTATTCCCTGTGGCCATGTGGGACTTTATCATAGTAAGGGTTCTGCTATTTCTATTCATCGCTGTAATTTCATTGAGTGTACATGTTTAGTTTCATCTTATGGATCTTATCTAGTTTGACAATTTTTTGTTCTTCTCTGCGTAAATTGAAAACTTCAGGGATCCTCTGACAGCAATGTGGAACTGCCATTTTCTGCCTGGCCTTTTTTGAGTACTATTCTCTTTGGAATAATATTGATATTCTACGTTGACAGCATCGCAGAGGAGAAGTATGACAGTAGCTAAAGCACTGCTATGGCTTTTATAATTTTTTCTAGTTTTTAAGAACTGTTGCATTATTTCATAAAAAATTCCAGACTTGTGCATATATAATGTGCTAGAAGCCTCATTCTACATTCCTTTGCATCCCCTTTTTCCCTGTAGGTTCTGCATAGTGCATACACTCATTCAAGTAATCCTTTTAAAAAACAAAAAGAAAAAGATGGGAGAGGTGTTATTTTGTTGATTGTAATTTTGATTGGATAACTTCCATTTATTTCAGCTTTAAGCTTTTTGACTAAATACAATGTAAGACTTGTATATAACTGCAGCTACTTCATCCGTTCATAGGTTGCATGTGGTTTTCTCTTCTCCAAGACATTTAATGGCAGCTGGAGGATGCTTAATTGTCATGGAGATTGCGTATAAAATGGACTTCTCCTTGACAGGCTTTTTAATTTGTTCCTCAATATTAGGCATTGGTATGTATAACTTCTTCATTTTTCTTTAAGTGAATAAGCTATGGATAAAGAAGGCTGCATCTCCTTTGGAGTATCTTTTTCCCCTTTTGATCTAAATTGTGCTGCTTTCAACGTTTATGCATAGGGTGACCCCCCAAAAGACAGTAAACGCATAGGAAAGGATCATGTATCAATTTTTTTTTATTAATCATTGGATATGCCACAATTTTTTATTTATTTTATATCACAGATCTTGTCTGTTATTTGTAAAAAAAAAATCAAGAAGTTGGGTGTACCACATCTTGCCAGGCAAATATATCACCAGAAGGAATATAGACTATAGATTATTATATCTATTTCAAATCATATTCTACCATAATGAAATCTCATTCTGCTTCCCTTCCATCTTATCAGCTCTCATTAATTCCATGAAGGAGGTCTTTCTCATGTTTGTTTTTGCAGTAAAATTTGATTTTCTTGACTCGTTAGTGAAATTTCTGGAAAAAAACTGCAAAAAGCTTCAATGCAAAGCAATGTTTTTGTGACTAAATTTCAATAGATCTTATCTTTGATTCTCCATAACTTTGTAGGGATATATGAAGCAACTACCTTGGAACGTGGCAGGAAAGATTCTCTTCAAAAGCCAGATATGTCAAATGGGATGCTGAGTGATGAACTTCAGATGCCTTCTCTTCCGACTTAATTTGTGCTGTTCTGGTATGTGAAGAATGTTCTTGTGTACACATCAAATTTCTCGTCTTTCTATTACCTGTGGTTTTGGAAGCATAATACTGCATGACTGGGATTTTGGGTGGGTTGTATGAAGTGAATTATATCAATTAATGGTCATTTCATTCTGATACTTGAAACCACACTATGTTGGTATGGGGAGGCAGGTCATTTGAGTAAAATATTTTCTGTTTTCTGAATGATAAGAAGTTATTATTTTTACTAATTTAAAGAAAGGATGTAGACTATCAAGGTTAGCTGAATATAATTAAGGGAAGCCTAAGTAGCCAGTCAAAGATACTTTGACATTTTCCATCAGTTAAAATGTTTTTGGGGAAGAGATGAGTAAGACCTGGCCTCTTGAGTTTGTGGAAACATTCACCAAGAAAACACTAGGGTAGCTCTGAGTTAGCATTCGTCCTCTTTTCTGTGGTAGATTTTTTTTGCCGACTGTTCTACCTTTTTGTGCAGTGACAACAAAGGTTTTATGCATGAATATGCAATTTTCTTGCAGCATTTATTCTGAGGATGTTGATTTTGTTACCCTTAGTTATGGGGCATGATGGGTGATAAAATGCCATTGCTTTGATCATTTGCCAGCCAGGTAATACCCTGCACGAATTCTTTACTGTCAAAATGGTTTAGCATCTGAGCCAACGTTGAAATGCTAAAACAAATTTAGACGTTTGACCCTATTGTAGCATTTAGTAGGTTCTAAGGTTGTAATATTGTTTCAAATTTACCTTTCTTTTATAGTTTACAGCTACCCAGTAAAAAGATAATGCTTGTACTTGCCCTTGAAGGGTTTAACTGATTACATTCAATCTTTTATTGGTGTTAGATACAGCTCCATCTACTTCTCAAGAAGACTTTTGCTAATTGATCAAAATTTGTTCCACGGTTATAATCTGGTTTACATTCAATCTTCTTACGCTTCATTCTTCTACAAACAAAGCAGAAGTTATTAATACCCTCGTAAACCAGAGCTTGACACTGAACTGAAACAAATAAAATGAAATTTCTTGTTTTACTTGAGCACAATCGAGTAAAACTACAACTTTCGGCAACCATCGTGAAATTGTCAAACCGTATACTTTAAAAAAGGATTTGGATATCATAATCTTCGGTTGGTAGCTTCTCTAGTAATCATACCCCCACCGGTAAAAGAATCAACGTCTTAAGAGTTAGAAAACTTACCATCCATGAGTTATCCTGTCATAATCATCTAGTAATGCAACCTGATAAGATGAAGATAATATTCACAACCCAAATCAATCGTTTCGAGGTCTATATTTGGTTAAGATTTAAGATATTGGAACCGTATAGGTTTTACAAACAGTGAAATTATAATGGCATCTACCCACCAACTATGAATTCTAATCTTTTCCATTTTAATGAAATGTGGATTTTCTTACTGTTCATGTATTCATTCTCACCAAGTTTAACCTTTTTGTGCTTGGAAACTCCTCTCAGGGAGTTTTTTTCCTTCGGTTCCCATCACATTAAAAAATGGGACTTTGATAAGGGAAAGGGGACCATTAATGAATTGCTTTGATAAACATGAAGAAACATAGGAAATTGATGTTTTTGATGATGTTCCAAGTGAAATTACAGAAACAACACAATTTGTTCCATACAAATGGATTAGTAGTTGAATGTTACTGAAATACAGTAAATCTCAGTGCCTATGTCTGTCATCTGCAGCAGCAGTTCCTGCAACTGCTTTGGTAACAAAATGAGTAACAATTCCAATGGGGCAAAACATCAGACAAAGAGAAACCGAGTGCCGAGTCTCGATTTGGTTTTGCAGTCCATCGTTGAAAACCTGCCTGGATTTGAACAATGAAGCAAAATGGTCAGAACTCGAAAGTTCGAACTGATTATTTGCGTGAGCGTGAAAAATCAAGAGAGAAACGAAACGAGAGATGGATACCTAGCAGCAAAGAGATCTACAGCCAATAAATGAATCCATGCAGAAGCCAACGTCATTTCACTAGAGAACATTTTGGCCATACCAGATAGCTAAAACTCAGGCGACCAAAAACAAAATACAGCACACGTAAAAGTGAGCAGACGAGTTGCAGTCATCATCAACAATTGTACACATCTAAAACAAACAGAAGATAGGTTAAATAATGCAAGTTCCGGTAAACATATACCTCTGGTAGCAAGTATTTACTAGCAAACATCAGCCTTAATGTATCAGGCGTCCACGACAGGTATAGCAGGTATGCATAGAGAAGCCCAAGCACTATAAAGGGGACACCGCTTTCCATGGTCTTTTTAGTCTGTATTCATAATTATGCAAGCCGAACACATGAATTCCCCTAGATGTATAACAGCACGGCTCAAAATATTTTACACAAATCATTGAAACGAAGAAAAGATTTTTAAGACTATAAGACGGCATAAGCAAAAGCTGAATCTCAGGCGTGTATCAATATATATACAAACCAACATAAAGACTAACCAAAACTTCTCTCCGTAAAGGTTTAAACCATTTGGAATATATTGAAATGGTTCTCATAGAAAACACATAAACAATGTCCCCGACAAGGAAAATTTGAATGAAAAACTTAGGTTCCAATAGAATTTGCACCGACATAAAGTTCAGATTTGAGACTAATGAAATGTGAGATTTCCCTAGTAATAATTAGAAACTTACCAATTCAGCTTTCGGAGCAAAAACCATGAGAGTATAGAATGGAAGAACCGCTGCCGTTCCCAAGGTAAACATGCTGCTGGCGATTTGAGAAGTTGTCAACCCTGTAAAAGTGTTGCAAAACATACCAGTTAGAAGAACATAAGAAAATGCTTAGCAACGTCGATTTCTAACAATATTCAACATATAGCGTGCATGCTACAAAATAAGTACATTTAAATTGCACTTCAGCATAAGCATACTTGTTGTAAACCACAGAGGGGTGCAAGTAGGACATTAGTAAGCACCAAGGCAGCAGCAAAATGAAATAACTGTTCCAACGGCCAAGCACAAATCAGCACAGACAGAACAAAGGAAACGGTAATTGAACTATCTGATTTAGACCTTTTCACACCCTTTGAGCAGCAATAATTTATATAGGAAAGTATAACATGTGGAACATGCCTCTAGAATATGTCAGACGCGTCATTTAGCAGCCTAATGCCAAAAACAGATCAATTCCATTTTCTTCTCTCTTTCATCACATGGTCACCAAAAAGTAACAGCATGAAGGACCTAATGCAGATAAACTTTGTTATCAGATAAATACTAGGAATTGATCCAAAGTTATACTAGTAGCAAGAGAGGCATGACTTTAACAGCCAAAAGAGCATATTCATAGAAATCCTCGAGTTGAATTTATGTTAAGATAAACGAGTTTAACAATGGTTAGCAGCAAAGAAGAATGTAAGAAACTCTATGAAATCGCACCTCCTGTTTCAAGATAGTGGATGATTCACAGAATTCTGACCATGTGACATGCATGAAAACCAGGAAACAATTAAAGCAAATGAAAAGTGCTAAAAAGAATTACATGAAGCTTGTACTTCAAAGCTTTTTCTAAAGGGAACAAACGTTGAAACTTTTTTTCCAACAAGTCTTGTTCCTCTAGCAAAACTCCATTCACCAAGTAAGCCAGCTCCAATGCTTGCTTGCTGACTGGGCTGATCTGTGCCCCTGGTTTTGAGAGCAGAAGTGAATCTTTTGTCCACTTCCACATTACGGCGAAGATTACTTGGCTGACCAAAGTGACTAATCTAAAAGAAAGAAACCCCAAATTTAAGGATACTTCTTTAGCTTTAAGTTTAAATACCAAAATGTCAACATGTTAATAAGCAGCATAATTACACAAAGTCCACTACATGGCTCATCATAACACAAGTTCTTTAACCGTTAACATGATCTGGTAATTGATAACATGTGAGAGAATCAATGAAAGAAAGCAGACCATTTATTTTCAGTTTTAACTCATAATATTCCCTCATATTATGGGCAACTTTTTCTCATAAAATTCATTAAGGGATACTACCCCGGCCTATTATTTACTTGATGTATACATTATTAGTTTAAGTTGAAAGTGAGAAAAAAAGAGAGGAAAAGTTAGAGAAACCAACAGAAGGAACCAAGTTCAATGGAAAGCATAAACTTCAGAATGAGAATTTTACATGAAAATATAATCATTTTGAAAGCCTAACTGCAGAATTTTACATGGTGAAAGTTATGTCTATCACGCTGATTAGCAGAAATCCCTTAATTTCTTTTCTAATACATAAAGTCTTAATTTTTTTCGCAGCTAGACAATCTCTCCAAAACCAAAACCCACGTCTCAGATTTAGCAGAAACTAGAGTGAGATGTGCCTATGAAATCGCCAAATAGATTGTCCCAAAAGAAATTTTCAGCGAATCACAGATTCATTAAACAATAAAATATAGAAACTTTACGCAACATACAGATTAAGAAGCAAAATCAAAAGCTTCAGAAGCCTCAAAAGGTTTTTTTTTAAAGAAAAAGAAAGAAAGAAAACCAACCTTGGGTGAGATTAGAGGATGGGAAATGCAAGAGGACAAGAACATGGTTGCAGAAAAACTGAAATGTCCTTTGAGAAAAATAACAACAATGGCTTCTTCATGAGCTTTATATAGCACGCTATTGCTCAATAGTTGGCAATTAAAGCACTACTACAGCAAAGAACTTTAAAAAGGAGATGAGATTAAAAAACAAAACATGGTGAGCTCGGTAATGGTTTAGACTTTGGCCAGAAATCCCACTAAGACCGGCAAAAGAGGAAGGAAAGAGACATTGCTTGCCAGAGTTGTATTTAAAAAAGGATAATGTAACCATATCCGACTCCGATAATTATTTTTGGATATAATACACAAATAGCTATTACATTATATTAAAATAACTTTTTAGTAACTAAAGTTTAAAATGTTATATAATGATCATAAAATTTATCTAATTATTATAAATGTTCATTGTACGTTATAGAACAGTAATAAATTTTGATAAATTTAAAGATTATTTTATAATAACCTAATAAATTAAATAACTATTTTATAATAATTTGATAAAATTTAATAATTATTGAAAAATTATATAATTATTTTATAACTTTTAAAATTCTAATAATTAAAAAATATTTTAATATGTTTCAATTTTTTTTATATTTTAATGTTATTTTTAGTTTTCAAAACTTACATATTTTATCATATTGATCAAAATTTGTAACAATTCAATATATACACAATATTTAAAAATTATATTATTTTGATTCTTGTTTTAATTTAAAATAATTTAATAAAACAGTGAATTTATCCCTCTAATAAGATGACTACACGTGTCAAAAGTTAAGGGTATTCTATTCGAACATAGAATTTTAATTCTTTTAAAATTGGGGATTAAATCTAATATAACTGGTTCAGGGATAAATCATGTGAAACCTAATATTTTGCAAGGATTTATACTAGAATTTTTCCTTTCTCTGAAACCTTGTATCTTGTCTCGAAACTATAATCGCTCATCACTCTATTTTCTTTTGAAAACTCGTTGTCGATTACCCTTTCTTATCATCTGTTCAGCACCACAAACGCCATCTGTTATGAACTCTTTTACCGATCAAGGACTATGCAATTCCGATGAACCCCAAACATCTTTAAAAATCATATTCCCAAAACCTTAACCCTCGTTGCCCATTGTTCGACACCACAACATTGCCTGTCATAAACTACTTCTTTGATTGAGGATTATGCAACGTTGACGAATCCCAAACGTCTTTCGAAACCTCTGTCCTCTGTATCAAAACTCTAGCCACTTGCACTCGTTACTCATTCTCTTCTTCCAAAAACTCATCATCAATTGTCCTTTCCATTAGCCTCTTAGCACTCCAAACGTTGTCTGTCACAAACCCCGTCAGGTTGTCGAACTAAAATTAAACGAGGAACAAATTGATAGAATTTTAAAATATTGAGGATTTATTAAATTATTTCAATTTAGGACCAATTTGGTACAATGTATAAGTTTTAAGGACTAAAAATATCTATGGTAGGTATATATCTATTTTAAATTTGAATTTAAGTTATTTATTTTATTAATCGTTTTTATTTTAAATTTTTATTTATAGAAAGGTTTTGTGTTATTAATACATGTATGTAGGTCATTTTTAGATCGTCATTGGTCTTGTGTTGGTATCTGTTGGCATGTAGATGGGGAATGCTCCAAACTTGATTTGCTTGATTATTATTAATTGTCCATAATATAAATGATCCCGAGTTCTTATCTGTAATGGAATTTAGTAGGAGACAGGAATTAAGCATTCACTATCAGTATAAGTATGCTCCAGCGCCTAACCTTCACAAATTTACAAGTTAAAACTTAAAACAAGGACAGTGGGGGTTCCCTTGAAGCTTGTCTTGTCTCTTTATCAAACTTTAAACTATTGTTTGTCTATATTGGGTGCATGGATAAATCATTGGTGTATTTTTATTCTTTCTGTCCAACTGGAAGTTGACACCTGTATCCAACAACTTTTTTTTTTTCTCTTGGAAATTAACCATTCGTTTTATTTATTTATTTGAAAATTAACCATTCATTTTATGGTAAAGGAAAGATGGGACAAAAATGAACAAAATGGATGAGATAGTGTAAGTGAATTTTTTAATTCTCAATATAATCTAATATGATGATTATTTTTCCATCTAGGGTGAATTGCACAGTATTAACCTAAAGACGCCATGTGTTCCACGCATTTTCAAGTTAAATATGAAGACTCCACGACTGCATGGTGTCTTCAGGCAAATGAAGAAGACCCAACGATTGCATGGTGTCTTCAGGCAAATGAAGAAGACCCAACGATTGCATGACGTCTTCAGACAAATAAAAAATATCCTAGGAGTGCACGGGGTCTTCAAACCAATAAGAAACATTAGTTCATAAAATAATTTGATGGATACCTTATATGGAAAAATCATTTTTTCCACAACCCTATACGGACGAGGAAGTCGGAAAGAGGGTTGTGATGGATGCCATCTATCCATATTCTGGTTGTTTTTTGCAAATTTATTTATTTAATTGTAATGAATGGTGTATGAAAGGTAAGCATATGAAGATGGCTATTTTATAGACGTTACCTCGTTCTATGATTTCCTTTTATAGAAATCCATTATGTATTCACGTTTTATAGTGTTTCGCAAATTTATGCAACTGTAGTCAATGTTTCAACGAAGGAATGCACGTGAAGATAGCCATCCCAAAACAAAAATCCTACTAAACGTGTACTCTTAAAATTTGAATATCCTACGAAGAGTGTACTCTTAAAATTTGAATATCTTATAAAAATTAAACTATCTTGATGGTTAACCGTTATTCCTGGAAGTCTTTGATTCAAATAACAACAACTGCAACAAAATGGACTGAACGTTCATTATTAAATGGTTGAAAATATTAATAACAAAATGAAAATTTTTATAAATCCATGACGTAAACAAAAACAAAATTTGGATAATTTCGTCTACTGATAATTTAATATTAGTAACAAGATGAGATTTTTTTATTATTACATGACTTGAACAGAAACAAAAATAACTTCGTCGATTGATAAATTAATACTAGCAACAAAATGAAACATGATAATAGAGTGACTGGTATTGCAGTCAATGGTGGATGTAGATGGGTGACTCTCTTAAACCCGAGTTTATTTGTGTTTATTGTTCATTTTATTAAATATTTTCAACCGGAAAAATTCTATTAGTTTATATATACCTAAAATATTTCTGGATGCTAGTTTACCAAAAAAATTAATCTCCCTCGTTGAAGTTTTGTACTTTTCAACATAAAATGAACGGTGAAATAGTAGTCATTTAATTGCAATAAAATGTCGGATCACTGACGACGAAAAAATTGTTGAAGAAAAAGTCGTATAAATGAACTTGAAATCCTAAATTTACACAAATCAATTTGAAATCCTGAATTTACACAATCAATAGAACCTTATTCCAGTTTAGTCCATTTATTGAACTGTTTTGCACAAATATATAAATGTGTGAAATGGAGAGATTGGGGTTAGCATGCCATGAAACTATGTCACTGAAAACTCTAAGAATCCTGTCATCTGGTTCACCTTCAAGAAGAGAATGGCCAGCATCCTTGTATATGATCATATTCTTGTCCGAGCTGCTTGCTTTATCGTACAATGCTCGACTAACAGATGGATCCGTAACGATGTCGTTCTCTCCATGCAAGATTAATATCGGAAGTGAAACCTGAAATCATAATAAATTCAAACCCAGAATCAAAACCGGCTCTACGACATATTCCAAGTTAAATGATACCATTGTTGGAAGCAAAAGAAGATCTCAACTCTTAGTTGAATTGGCGGTGTTTGTCGTGCTCCAGAATAAGAATATCCGAGAGCTAATATCGTCCTAAATTTAAAATGGGAAAGGAAAATGCATTTTTAAACATCGTTCCGGAATAAAATTTGTGTGGTTTAGGATCTCATAACACTGAAGAAAGAACTAAACCATCATATAACATGATTGAACTCCCGGAATATTGCTGGCGGCATCGTAACAGGACGGTAATCGAGACGCAGTCCCTATCATGTATCCTAAGCAACATGCATGACTCATCTTCAGCTAAAAGGTTCTTGCAAGGATTTGATAATGTTTTGCATTTTGGACTTTTAAGGAAAAATAAGTTTGGGGGATCTATGCGGACACTACGGCGAAACATGGGTTCCTTCGTATCAAACATTACACATTATATAGCTCTTGAAAAACATACACTCGGAAGCAATGCCAAACAGACACAAACATAATTCTCCAAGCAGGAAGTAGAAGAATCACGGGCCAAAAAACGAGATAAAAAGAATTGTTGGTTCAAATTTCATTTTGAAACGTAGATAACAAACTTTACCAGAGCGCAAAAGGGAAAAGGAAACTGGACCTTCTCCATATCTTGTTCTATCTCGGCAGCGATTCTCAACATCTCCAGAGCAGTCCGCAATTTGTCCTTGCAAGCAATGACATTATAGGGTGTCTGCATTGGCAGAAAAAAGAGAAGTAAATATCAATAGGGACAACTAACTGCATAAAAATTATGCACTTAAGCAAACTAGAGACACGGTTAATATACTCCCTAAACATTAACAGTACTTCAAATCATTCAAAATTTCACCAAAATAACATCGTTTCACATCTATATAAAAGTCTATTTATAACACCAATAGTGAATAAATGACTGAGTGACCAAAAAATTTAATGTATTTAGTTCAATTACCAAATTTGTAATTTACCCTAAAAGAAATGATGTGCATTGCCATAGCCCTTAAGAACCCAAATTTCTTGGGCTAAGATTAGGTCTAAGTTTCAAAACGAGTAATGGACTAATGGCCAATAGACATGGCCCAATATTTAATTTGAAAAACTCTCAAACATTTAAACGAAAGAAAAAAAAATATGGGTAAATCATTTGGGTAATCACTTAATTATCAACGTGTTTTTTCTTTTTTTCAAACAAGAAACTTCGACTTTATTGGAGTAATAAGGAAAACAAGTGGCAGGTGTAAAGCAGTACAGCAATAAAGATATGGGGAAAGACGGAACCCCTCAAGACGAACCCCATTGCTGATCTTTCCTGAAGTCACAGCAAGAGAATCAAATCGATGAAATGAACGGTAAGGAAAACACAGCAGAACTGAAATCGAGCCTTTAATCCCCACAGCGACGCTGGCGGAGTCCAGCTGCTCAAGGAGGAACAAGCCAGCGTCTATCCTCTGTAACTTCGACCCAGTAACAGTTTTCACTCTCAAATAGTGATGCTTATCGAAAAAGTAAATCATAAACTGAACGTTGTTGGATTCGTGCTCGTTAAAATTTTTATTATTCGACTCATCTCGATTCATTATTTATTAAGTTCATTAAAATTTTACATGTTTCTTAAAAAAAATTTCTTCTCAGCTCGACTTGTTACTCGTTAAATTTATTGCTCCACTCGTTGTTCTTTAATCTCACTAAAAAATTTACTTTATTTTTTGGCTATAGATAAAATCTACTAATGCGGTATAGAACTTAATATAAACATGAATTAATAAATTTAATCAAAAAATTATAAAAAATGTATAAAGTAATTTTAAAGTTTAAACCCTAAAGTAACAACCTACAACTATACCTAACTAACATATTAAAATTAAAATAACAATTCACAAATACATCAAACTAATATATTAAAAATATTATTTAAAAAAAGTTCAACGATATATAATCAATCATAAAAACAAGGAAATCTACATCTATTAATTACATTCATTGTTGCTTACAATAACCAAACTATTAAAATTTATCAAAACTATTAATAAGTTGCTCACGAACTTATCGAGTTGAGTTGAACTTTGTTCTACTCAACTAGTTAAGGTTTCGAATCAAGCTCAAGTTCAAATTAAATCAAATCAATCTGAGTCAAATTTTGAGAAATTTTAATCGAGTCGAAAAAAAAACTCACGAATTACTTATCTCATTAAGCACCCCTAAACTCAAAGTATCATCACTGTTGTTACCTCCCAAAATGCTTATATGCCAATATTAATTTTAGTGATTTGTACAAAAAATTAAATAAAAATACACATGTGCGAAGATAGAAAAATAGAATACTCCTCTGTCTCGTTAACAGTATTTATTATTAATTTTTTAAAAAAATTTAAATTTTAAACTTTAAACATAATTTTTTATTATCCTAAATAATTAATTTTTATAAAATATATATTTAAAATTACTTAATTTAATATTTTTAGAAAATATGCTACCAAAAATATTAATACTTTTTAATATTGTGAGTAAAATACTACCTAAAACATTATTTTTTTACTGAAAATGTTAATTTCGCTAACTAATTTTCGATAAAAAAATAATATTTTGGGTAACATTTTACGGAAAATGTTAAACATTTTAAATACCATCCAATATTAATATTTTTGGAAGAAAAAAATAATATTATAAATTGTGATTTACCAGAAATATTAAAAATTATTAAAATTTTTGGTAGAGCAATTTTTTAACTGTAAAAGGCTACCGTACCTTACCCATCCCGTGTTGAGAAGAATAAAATTATTGTGATTCCACTTATAAAATTTACCATTTCAATTTATGTAAACTGCATTGGAATTATCTGCTTCCTCTGTTTACATAAAGGGATAAGAGAAAAATTACAAAAACAAAAGCCCACAACTTTTGTATCTAAAAAGTAAAATAACAAAAGCCGAAAACGAGCCGCCAAAACTGGGAAAACTTAAAAGCCATTTAAGCCGCCGGATAATCAAGCCCCAGCTCCACCTTACACCTTTGACTATCCTCCAACACCTCCACTCTCCTCTTCTTTACGGGCACCACCACCTCAGAACCACGTGATACCACCGGCTTAAACCCCAACGTCAACTCCAGCCCTATCTCGCCGCTTCCCTCCAACAACCTTCCCCCGAATTCCGGCACCGCCGGAAACAGCCGCGAAGCCCCCACTGTTTCCTCTGAGATCATACTCTCTGTTTCTCTGCTTTCCCCATCCATAACAGCCTTCCTCCGCGTAACACCGCGTAACACCGCGGTGACAGGTGACTCAGGCTGGTGACTCAGCGACGACTCGTGGTTCGGGTTGTTCGCAGTTCTCCACTAAGACCGGCTTTTCCACCTTGGGCTTCATAGTTCTTTTAACCCGGCAACGAGTCTTGACTCGTTGAACATCGTTGGAGGCCGCGGAGTTCTCATGTTTTGAGACATGACGAATTTCGTATGCTTTTATCGGCGGTCCTTGGCCATTCGCGGGCGGCTTCAGAAGCAATCGGCGTGATGGGAGCACCTTTTAACACAGCTTCCACGGCTGCTTGACAAAGCTGCCAGCTTCCGGCCATAATAACCCAACAGAACCATAAATCGGGTTCACGATCCTCCCACAGGCCTCGTATAATGACCTAAAAATAGCTGAACATCCAAAAACAAAAAGTCAGTTCAACAATCCAACCGACGCACTAAGCCCCGGTCTAGTTCATCCCATAATTTAGAAAAAAAAAGTAAAATTTAATATATATGTTAAAGAAATTTTTTTTGCATCTATTATTTTTTTAAAAAATTATAATTTGGATCACCATTTATAAATTTTTTGATCTGTCACTGAATCCAAAACTGAAAGAGTAAATAAACCATCATGAAACGCATAATGAAAGTAGAAGATACCAGGGCGAAGGTGCTCGGGGCCGGCGTTGATGAGGTTCATGAGACCGGCACGGCCATAAAACTTGGCGAAAAGCGGTAGCGTTTGCCTGGGATTCAGAGATTTTGATCCATTGTAAACACCTAATGCTACAATTTTCACTGCATCCTTTACGAAGAATCCGGCATCCATTACAACTCATACGCATTTTGAGAAGATTGAAAGAAAGCTGTTTGAATGGAAAGGTCAATATTGAAGAAAGCATAGTAGGGGTTGAAGAAAAGGGGTGAAGGTAGAGTATTTAAGGGGAGTAGAAAAATATTATTTTTTTTACGGGGGGAAAAAAAGTCGCAAGGTTTTCAGGTATTAGGGCCATGGTGACGCAGTTTTCAATTAAATTTCCATTCCAAACGCTGGTTTCCACATTCAAGGAGGTTGGCTTTAAAATAGTTTATAATCTTAATCCAAATTTAAAATACGGTGCCATGTTTTGATATTTCCCTACTCTCACATCTGGTTCGTGTAATTCACTCCCAATTAAGGAATCCAATTCCGAATCCCCATTGGAGGCGTACTTAAGGTACTGTCCCTTCTGCGTATGACAACCTACAAATTCACGAAACGTAACTCCTCTCGCTGAAATCCGTACACAACATTTTTTCCACTAAAATAGCCCTGATTGCTTCAATTAATTACCTCTTTGTAATGGAGGCCCGCCAAAAGATGAGGACATGATGGAGATTTGCTTATAAGAACAGGTGTTGAAAAAGGTAAGAAATGCCATGCAAATGGGTCCAAATTTTTAGAAAGGAAGAGAGCAGCGCGTGGCAAATAGGTCGAGGTATCAGAGTGCCGTCGAATCGCCACATATGGGTGTGAAGTGTGAGCCACCGGGAAGTCCATATTTGTGTTTTTTTATAATTAAAATAACACAGAATAGAAAATCTCCTGGTTTTCGGGAAGTTCGTGTCGGTTCAAAAACCACGAGGGCGATGCCAAAACCGGTAACCGGTTTCCGGATTTGAATATGGGACTGTGGGCGCACTACAAGACTTATCA